CCTATGAAAATAGGATCTGTAGGACACATCTGTATCATTCCTATAGGGAGGAGACAGAAAAATGCCTGGGAGCTCAAGTGTCAGCTAGTCTAGAGTCCACAGTGTGAACAATAAGGGGATCCTCTCTCAAACATGGTAGGAGTGAAGACTGGCATCAGTGGTGGTCCTCTGACATCCACACATGCACCATGGCACAAGCACCTGTGCTCACACACGCATGCACACACACACACACACACACACACGAGCCCCCCCTCTTCAGGAGATGTCTAAAGATCCACACTATAGCACTCAGTTCACCTGTAAAATGTGGTTACAATGGCTGCCTTCAGCCCCACAGGTCCACCAGGCAGTGGGTTTCACATAAATAACTCGGTGGTTTTCTCTCCTGTGAACCCGGTCCCTTGTGACTCTGGCCCTCCCCACTTTGTCTCCTACGTTTCTCCCGCTGTGTAGCATGCTCACAATATCTACCCAGTCTGTAGTTTACAATGCAAAAGCTACTTTCTGACAGTGAACACAGAACTCAGAAAAACAGAGCTGGCAAACTATAGGCATTGAACAGAGGGACACTTGATGTTCCCATGCTGTGCCGGGCACTGGGACAGAGAGGCTGCTGTGCTTCTGTCCTTGAGGAGATACACTGTGGGTCTCATTTATGTTTCTCCAGCACTGGATGGATAGTAAGTGTGCAATAAGATTTGGGGAAATCGACTGTACCAGTTGATCCTAGGGACCACGTGATGGACTGAGTGGGTGGTGAGAAGTTTGTAAAGCAGACCTTGGGTGTGTCTGCGTGGGAGTTTACTGAGATTAAGGACTGAATAGCTTCCCTGAGTACGGGTGGCACTACCCTGTAGGCTGGGAGTCAAAACGGATGAAAAAGAAAGAAGGAAGTCAGTGTGCCTGGGATGGAAAGGAAAGGGGCCAAGGAAAAAGGGAGCCCATGGGGAAGACTTCTCCAGAAATGACCCCATCTATGCCTTGAGCTCCAAGGAGCCCCGGCCAGAAAGGCCTCAAGGTCTGTCCCGGGGTGAGAGATGCGGTTTCCCTCCACTTCCTCTACCTACTATAACACTCAACTATTAGCTGCTCTTCTAATCCACCAAGGTTAAGATCCATCCTAAAAGCTTCTCAGTTTGAAAGAAAAATTAACACTTCATTTTCAATATCTTCTACTTATTCTTTGACAATTTCATGTACATGCAATGTTGATCCTATTTACCACCCAACTATGCCTTCTGGCTCCCCCTGCCAGGCACCCCTCAACATGTCCCCTTCCCAGCTTCTCAGCTTCCCAGCTTCATGTTCCCCATCTCTCTCTCTCTCTCTCTCTCTCTCTCTCTCTCTCTCTCTCTCTCTCTCTCTCTCTCTCCCCCCCGTCTGATCAGTGCTGTGTGCTGGAATATTGACTGATTGTATTGTCTTGCTTTTGTACAGGTCTGGTGAGTGCAATGGCTATGCCAGGTCCCAAAGATAACATTTCACAGCTCTTCTCTCCATTCTCCAACTCTAATATTGTTTCTGTTCAGTCTTCTGTTCTCTAAGCCTTGAAAGGGGTGGGGGATGGCATAGCTAGATCTCATTTATGGATAAACACTCAACAGTTGCTTATTCTCAACACTCAGACCAGTTATAAGTTTGTACGAGCTGCCTACTGCTACACAAAAGAAGCTTCTCTGACAAACACTGAAGGCGAGGCCGAAATCTGTGGGTACAACCATACAGATTTAGAAGACCATTTGGCACCTTGCTCATTTAAATACTTCTCTTCCTGGAGCCTCTGAGCTCAGCTACCATGGGCTTTGGAGCAGGTCTACAGTATCAGATACATTTTCCTTCCTTGGAGAGGGCCTCAAATCCAACCAGAAGGCAGTTGGTTGTTCCATAACCATCATGCCACTGTTGTACCAATGGACACATCTTGTCTGACAAGCCGACAACTGCACCACTCAGGGTTCACCTCTGATAATTCCATTAACGCCTTTTCTCCTGCATCCTGAATAGCACCTTCTGCCATTCCAAAATGTAGCCAGTGGAAACAAAGTCCTCAGTTCAGTTCTGGCTTGATCTACAACCTAAGTATGTTGTGTCTTCATATCTACTTTTACTATCTAGTGACAGTGGACAACTAAGAGCAATGGTGATAGCCTATGATGTTTGTTTGGGAGGCTCCCTATTCCTCACCTGGCACTAAGAGGCAAAGTGATGTTAGTAGCTTGAACATAATATAAAACTATTAAAATTGGGCCAAAAAGAAAGACTGCTGGTTGGGTGTACTCAGCTACCACTCCAATCCCCAAAATAACTTGCAAATCACATCCTTTGGATGATTTTGAGACTCCGGTGCCCTCTCCCCCTGGAAACATGCTTTCCACAGAAAATTCTAAGTGGGTCCAAATGTAAACAGTGGGTGGTTAAAGCTCCACGCAGCCACCATCAGAACTGCACCTGAGCCGTTCTCTGGCCTCTCCTGCTTTGCCCGCCACGTGTTATTAGGAGGATCTCGTATCTACTCCAACTCCTGGTTCTGAGGAACCTTCCAGCATGGCCTTGTGATTACCCCTAGCTGACCTCCCCCGTGTTGCCACTGACCCCTCCTCCCAGTGTCCCCTACCATCCAGCTGGCCTGATTTCCATGATGACCATTCAGGACTCACCCTTGCCCAGAGGGATGAATGCCCCAAGTTTCTTCAACAACCTCCTGCTCCTTCTACCAAGCATAAAAAGGATGGGGTGTGGGAGACAGACAGTCACCCCCCGCTGAAGCTCCTAATAAGGGACATTTGGAAGCCCACTTCCTTTAGGGCTTTCTAGTTACAGTCCCTTTAGCCCCTAGCTGACAACCTGATAATTCTCTCTGATCACACAATCTTTGGCTGCTGCTGCAGCTGCCTTGACACTGTCCTTACCAAAAAGATAAAAATATTTTTAAAAAAACATTGTGAATAAAAGATTAGAGCAGGGAGAGACGCCTAGGAAAGGTGTCCTCCCCATTTCCTCCTCTTCTTCCTCTCCCCATTCCTCCCCACCTCTTCCTACTTGTCCTCCCCTCTGTTCCCCATCCTCCTTTTCCTCCTCCCTTCCTCCCTCCTTTTCTCCTCTCATTCCTCCTCTCCTCTGCTCTCCTCCTCATTCCCTTCTTCTCACCACTCTCCGCCCTTCCCCTTGTCCTCTTCCTCCTTCTCTTTTCTTCTCCCTCCTCCCTTCTCCCCCTCCTCCTCTTCTCTCTTTCCTCTTCTCCCTCATCCCTTCTCCCTCCTCCTCCTCTTCTCTCTTTCCTCTTCTTCCTCCTCCCTTCTCCCCCTCCTCCTCTTCTCTCTTTCCTCTTCTCCCTCCTCCCTCCTCCTATCTCCCTCCCCCACTTATTGTCCCTCTTCCCCCATCTCCACTCCTCACCCTCCCTCTCTGGACCCCTTCAGTCCTCTCCCTCTTCTGTCTCATCCTTTCTCTCTTTTGGTGCCAGAAACAGCCTAACCACAATGGAAAGTTTGGAGAGACAGCATAAGGGAAAAAACCCACTACCCAGAGCTGATTAAAATATCCTATGTAATCTAATTTGTAAAGCTCAGATCAGAATAAAAAAGTGTTACTCCCACAATTCCAGACTAATTTGATTTTTAATAAGACTCCTCAGAGAGGTTGCGAAGATCCCATCGGGCTGTGGACTCTAGACCTTCCTGCTGCCCCACTCTCTGGGTGCTCCGTGCGCCCCCTGCTCCTCATCTCTCCCTATGCCCATAGTTGGCCCTGTTTGGCGCAGCGATCCAAGTCCAGGTCCTCGGTGGTGCTGTGGAAAGGAGGTAGCAGCGGACTCCCAGGCTCCTTTCCCTCCATTGAATATCTGTCTCTTTGGGATGGGGTGGGAAAAAGTGAGGGCTCAAAACTCAAGTAGACCCCATTCCAGCCCCAGCTCTGCCACTCACTGTCTGTGTCACCCTGGGTAGACTGCTGTGCCTCTCTGGTCCCGGGTCCTTTGTTCCTTTGTTTCTGCCATGAAACATTAGATCGTCTCTAGAAGGGAGTACGGGAAGCACTGACTGCAGTCTCTCCAGATGATCAGTGTCCGTGTCCCACTGTCCATTCAGTTGTGGCCTCGCAGAAACACAGACCATGTTACCTCCCTTCCTCAGTGACTGCTCCCAGGTTGAGGTTTGGGAGCTGCATGGAGCCTAGCTCAGCACATGAGAACCCTTAGAGCCAGAACGCGGCAGGTTCACAGCCCCCAACCTGTCACAGGCAGCCATGGACAAACGCCTCTCTTCCCAGTCCTGCAGAGCTGTCTGCTGATGCTCTGAGGGGGACTGCTAGCATAGTACATCCAGGAAGTACACCAAGCCTTGGAAGTATTGCATCAGCTCTCCTTTGTCCCCTCCCTGTGCCAGCCTCCCCATCTCCATGTAGAGACGGAGCCTGCTGCGGTTAGGCTGTTAGCAGAATGAAAGAATTCATGAGCTGATGTTTAAAATCTCAGCACAGAGCCTGGCATCTCACATGTGCAGCAAACTATTTGTTTAATAAGATATGAGCCAATCGCTTCAATGGTTGTGGCATCTTGCTTTGAGGTGTGGATGAGAGTCATGGACTCCCAAGTGGTTTCCAAGGGGGAGACTGTAAGAGCAACCTCAGAAAAAGGATAGAGTAAGAAGGGTGTGTATGCATGTGGCCACCAGCTCCTGCCAAGGCCCTACTAGCCACGCAGACTGCCTGGGTGGCCAGGTTGAACTAGATTCATAAACACTCCTGAGCAAGTGGAGTTAGGTGGGAGTCCCAGAAGGAGAAGGGAGGTACATGCCCCATGGTGACTGAGCTTCATCTCCACAGTCAGCATCAGGGTTGCACAAGGGAGGGGCTGGAGTCTGGAGTCCAGGGCCAGCCTCTGAAAGATGAGAACAAGGCTGGAGTCCTGGGGCCAGCCTAGCTCTGCTTCTAGAGTGTGAAACGAGCTATCCTGGTACTGCTGCCCATACTGACTGACCACTGTGTTTCTCCCTCCCCAGGCCAAGTCTACTCCTTCAGCCAGCAACCCCAGGACCAAGTGGTGGTGTCAGGACAGCCCGTGACACTGCTGTGTGCCATCCCGGAATATGATGGCTTCGTCCTGTGGATCAAAGATGGCTTGGCTCTGGGTGTAGGAAGAGACCTCTCAAGTGAGTACCTCCAGACTCCCCCACCCTTACACAGTGGCCCCAGTGCCTACATCGCCTCATCTGCTCACTATGGCACTCCCATACTCCATCTCCAGTCTCATTCAGGGCTCAGATCCCCAGCCAGCTCTGCAACTTTCCGGGCAGGCCTAGACCTAGATCCCTAGGAGCCCAGGGCTCTCTGGCTATGAATACTGATGCCCATTTTATGGTCAGTCCTAAACCTAGTACAGAATCCATTCCAAAGCCAATGTGATTCCCATGAAGTCTGATTTCCAAGCATCACGCACTCCTGTTTCTTGTCCCAATATGAATCCTCATTTATCAAGGCATGGTCCAGCTTCCCACCCAAGGAGACAGCCAATAGACTGAAAACTTACAAGAAAACCTGCTTCTCCTGGGATTCATCTCATGATTGGAAGAAAAGACAGGAAGGGTTTCCACTAACTGCCAGCCTTGTTCAGCCACCCAGGCAAGCTGCACTATGGGGGCCTCCTACAGCTGCTGCTGACTGGCATGTCAACTCTGTTGTTGGTGCCAGGCCATGTCATTTGGTAACTACTTTGCATGGCTACCTTGGAAGCTCATCCAAACACCTTGCCAACCTACACTTTCCCCCGGGCATAAGGAATGCAGCCACCCTCATGTCACTTGCCTCTTCTGTCATTACCCTGCCCTGGGGCGGGAAAGAAGGGGGCATGATGAAATTCAGATCTGGGTGTCACTCCCCGGCCATCTGGGAATGGCTAGGGATGGAGGATTGATGAAAAATATGCATTCAACTGGTAAGAAGCTTCACCTCGTTCATACTGTACAGGAAAATAAAAATCGAAGTGTGCTCAGAAACACTGGGGCTGGGAAATTAATATTTTAAAATGTGAGTTATGTCTTGCCAAAAATGTATATTGAAACATTATAGCAACGGTCAATAGCAGTCACAGGGCCTAATGCTGTAGCCCAGCTGAGCATAGATAAAATGTCCAAGAATATCTCCAAAACACACTGTGAAGCCATAAAGTTTAAGTGTTATGGGAACCAGCCAACTTCTGCTCAGCTCTGGTACTCTAGAAAGATGGAGAAATGCTATGACCTTCCCAAATGAGAATTGCTTATGCTCTGGACAGCTCTGAGCCTGACCATCTGGGCTTCCTGGTCAATGACTATCATCAGTCTTTGGTCAGGGGCAATGTCTTATCAGGTCAGTGGCCAAGTGGAGGTACCAGGTCATAGAATGGTCATCAAGGCATAGATAATTGCATCTCTGATCTGAACCTAGTTCTCTAGGTTCCAGGATCTGTGCCTGCTGGGTTCTAAAGACAAGTTGATCCAATGGCTTGGCCTGACTCTCCAGCCTGACCCAGTCACTAAGGAATACAGGCCCTGGATTCTCTCCTGCAGAGCCCATAAGCTTAGGCACACTGAGAAATATCTGCCCTGTATTTAATCATATAGCCCCAAAATACCATCCTGGCAACAATGACAGGTTCTCACAGGCCCTATAAACACTGCTTGCTTGCCTGGTCCAGAAGGGACTGAAGAGAATTCAACTGAATTCAACAAAGATCTGCTAAATGCTTAAGGGAAACAGAGGACCAGTGTCACAGGACTTCCTGCTGCTATAGCTGTCCTCTTCCATTTCAACCGTGTCACCCTAGGCGTGGCACTAGACATGAGTCTCTCACTGACACTGTAGTGTCTTTCTGGTCACCGAGACTGTGAGACCAGAAAGAAAATGTTGCCAACACGTTCTCAGGTGCAGATAGAACAGTTTTCTCCTAAGAAGATTGGTTCTTCTCAGAGGTTTCTCATGGTTGTCCAGAGAGAGAAAAAGATTCCATCACCACCACCACCTTTATTTGAAAGATAAACAGAGTAACAATTGAGAAAAACTGATTCAATTACATTATCAGTCTCAATCCATGAATCTCTACCTGTTCTCTCCCAAGATGGACACCTCCACTCTAACTCCCTGACACAGTGAGTGTGTGTGTGTGTATGTGTGTGTTGCATATGCACACATGTATGTGCATGTGAGTGTGCCCACCCATGTTGTCTTATGGTTTCTATTGCTGTAAAGAGACACCATGACCACAGCAACTCTTATAAAGAAAGTATTTAATTGGGGATGGCTTTCAGAAGTGTAGTCCATTATCATCATGATGGCGTGGATGACAAAGAGTGTCACATAGACAGACAAGGCCCTGGAGCAGTAGCTTAGAGTTCTACATCTGGATCTTCAGGCAGGAGGAAGAGAGAGAGACACTGGGCCTACCTTGAGCATGTGCATTTATAAAAGAAGCCAGAGGTCAATGTTGGGTGTCTTCTTCAGTCAGTCTCTACCTATTTGTTGAGACAGGTTCTCTCGCTGAATCTGAAGCTCACTGGTTGGCTGAACTGGCTGGACAGTAAGCCCCTGAGATCTACTGGTCTCTGCCCCTCTAATACTGTCATGCCCAGATTTTGGGTTGCTAAGGACCTGAACTCAGATCTTCATTCTCACACAGCAAGCACTGAGACCTATCCTTAGCCCTGCCATTTGTATTTAAATTAGCATGTATAGAGAATATGGATGAACACTGGTAGCTGGTACCTGTAATTTCAACATTTGGGGAGTTAATGTTAAGCTGACATAATTCAAAGCCAGCCTTAGCTACATATCGGGACCCTATGTCTAATACTAAGTATGCAATAGGCATTTTACACAGATTATCCTGTTTTAATCTTCACCCAGGAGGTGCCAGCATTGTTCCCAACTTACTGGTAAGGAAACTGAGACCCAAAGTCAAAGCACCAGGGAAACAGAGCAAGGAAGAGATAAACTGGAGTTTGAGCCTACACGACATGACTAGAACCTAGACACTAGAAATCCTAGGAACTAGGAACTAGAAATCCTTCAGAAGCTCAGCTTCTGCGTATGTTTTCCAAAGATGCTGCCAATCCTTAAGATACCATCACGGCTCGCTGCCTAATTAAGCAAATACAAACAAACCCATCACTGATGTTTTCCACAGCTCAGGAGAGTGTAATCCTGCTGCTGATGGCTTGCAAGACAACAACAACAACAAAAAAAACCACCAGTTCCATCCAAGATGCCTGCAAGGGACAGACCTAATTGCAGAACAGCAGGGAGGGGTGGGCTGGAGGGCAGGAAGGCCAGCAGCATAGAGGCCAGCAGCAGCTGGAACCCCATGGGCTTACCGCCTTTGCCCATCAGAAGGCAGGAAAGTGAGTGAGAGGTGGACCGTGTCCTCCTTTGGTGCAGCTGATCCTTGGGAAGCATTTCTGGTCTGACCTGAGCAGCTGTGAGATCAAGGTCCTTCAGTGTCATGATGAGGACAGTAGGGTCTCAGTTGTGTAAGAGCTCCCAGAAGCTGCTGATTGGCGTTTGGGGAGACCATGACTAAGCAGGAGCAAGCACTGATGGGTCCTGGTGCAGTGACTCCCAGGGAACACTGCCCAACCACCGTTAGCTTAGCCAGAGTGGTCTCTGAGGAAAGATAGGGAGAGTCAAAAGAAGGGGCCCCTGCAGAACCCCACGGTGCAAAGGATGTGAGGGAAGCAGAACTCAGGTGAAGGGGTAGAAGGACAACGTCCTGACCAGACAAACCAAGAGGCTTCAAGACCAAGACCCCTGAGAGTGCAAGGACCAGCCTAAGGCTGTGGCTGCAGTCACTGTTTGCATGCGGCTAGCCGGCCGCAGCAACTGCTGAATGATTCATGGTCTTCAAACTTTTATTTATCTATTATTCATCACCAGTTTGTGTGTGCTGAGGCCCCAAATTCCTAAGTGTCCTGAGTGCCTCCTAAGTGCTTAATCAGACCCAGGGACTTGGAGATGGGAGGTAGGAATGCCCGGGCATGGGCCGCTGTGGTTCACGGGGCACAGTACCCAGCGTTCATAGACATCAGAAGGGTGAGGCTGGGTTCCCATTTCCTGTGCTTCCTGGGACAAAACTTCTCTCCTTGATCCTTTCCAAGTAAATCCCTTCTCCATTTTTCACTCCATTTCTCCCTTGCTTGGTCCACTCTTTGTGAATCTCAGAATCTCTCTTCCCCTTCCCCCATCTCCCCTCTTAGCATCTCCTTAGCAAACTCCACTGAATACAGATAGCGCTCCCCAGAGCAACGCCCCATAGCCAGGTCTGCCCACCCAGCATGTCCTCACTTTTGTCTCTAACACTGGCATCTCTCATTTTCCTTAGAGCTCAGAACCAGCAAAACACACACACACAGACACACACACACACACACACACACACACACACACACACACACACACACCCTGGGAAACTTGCTCTTGTGATCCTTTGCACTGAGATCAAAGACCTGGGCAAGTGCCAGAGGGCTGCCACTGCTGTGTCCCTTTGTCACCAGTGCCCACCCCGCCGCCCTAGCTCCCCTTGGGCTGGGAAGGGAAGTGTGACTGCTCTTTTCCCTCTGAACGCCCAATCATCTTAGCCCGTGAAATAAATTAGCAACACACAAATGAGCAGGGGAAGACATGGGAGTCACTCATAAAGTCAGAGGCTCAGTGAGAGCCTGAAGGCTGGGGCTCTGACGGCACATTGAGCTATAAGAACAAGAGAGCCAACGAAACGGCTCAACAGGCAAAGGCGACTGCAGCTAGGCCTGATGACCTGAGTTCAGTCCTTGGGACCAGCATGATAGAAAGACTAACTGACTCCCACAAGTTGTCCTCAGACCTCCATGTGGGTGGCATATCTGTGCTCACACACGAATAAAGAAAACACACAAATAAATAGAGAAAAAAGGAACTTAAGAAATAAAAAACTGACTGCTTAGGGTTGCAGGGGATGAGTGGTCCCGTATGCTAGGGAAGGGAGCAGCAAGGAAGCTGCTCAGAGGCCGTCCTGTCATATGAGTAAAGCTGTCTGTGTATTAGTCACCAGAAAGCCACCTGAGGTCAGCTCTGTCCAGGCCAGGTATCACACCCCTAGCCCATCTTCCAGAAAAATCTTTCTCTGGCAGAAGGGAGGAAGTCAGCCAGGAAGACCTCTGCCTGAGCCAGTGTTCACTAGCTACGAATCTCCCTTTTCAAGAGAATTTTTGGAACTATTCTATCTAAGGAAGTCACAACATCTCCAGATAGGCCTTGGAAACTGGCAACATGACTATTTTGACCTCTCATACCTTCCTGATTTCTCCCCAGGCTACCCCCAGTACCTGGTGGTGGGGAACCACCTATCGGGAGAGCATCACTTGAAGATCCTGAGGGCTGAGCTACAAGATGATGCTGTATATGAGTGCCAGGCCATCCAGGCTGCCATCCGGTCCCGCCCCGCACGCCTCACAGTCCTGGGTAAGTCGCCTGCACACGAACATGCAGGGATGCCATAAGGCTCTAGGAAACTCCGAGGACTCAGCTCCTGGAGGGCCCTTCTGACAAAGCTAGTAGAGGGAGGGTCTCCATTGGATATCATCTGGTCCTCCCCACTTCTGCCCTCTCCTCTCTCTTCCCATCCAAAGGGACATAAAAAAAGACCCCAGCTTAGGAAATCATATGGTTACCACCTACCACTCTCCTACCCAGTGTGTTTGGCTATACACTGGTGAGCAGATGAGGCTTCGGCTCAGCTGTGTAAATGAGGCCAGGCCCTTGGCAGCAGCGCAAGCTCAGAAGAGAACGTGGCACAGTCTGAGTGACCTTTCTTCCAAAGCTGACCTCCAAAGGGGCCAGAAAAGCTCCACATGCCCTGACCTCTCTTAAGGATGAGCCTCAAGTTTGGTCCTCCGTGACTTCAATGTCCACAAGGATCACCAAAGACCCTACCCACCCTGGGTTCCCTTGGAATCCTGGTTCTCTGCCATCATTCCAATGGGATTTCATCTCAGGGCCTTCTTCTAACCATTTCCCCCCTTGGCCCTTGCTTTGAATGTCCTGGGACAGCCCTCCTGAAGAAGTCCCTACCCCCTCAGTGGGATAGACCTACCTCAAGTAGTAGTGGGGGTTGCCTGGTGGCTCCTTAAGATCCCCAGTTTTGATTAAGAGTTCAACCCTGTCCCCTCCTTCCTCTGGCCAGGTTTCCCAGAGAAGGGAAGCTTGAGGAAACAGTTTGTGCATAAGTAGTGCTAATCATCCACAGTTACAAAGCCCCTCCCAGGAGCTCTCAAGGCTCCTCCAGACTGGATCAGGGATTGTTACCCCAGGTGAGAAACTGAGGCTCAGGGAAGCAGAAGGCCTAGACCAGCATCCCCTGCCCGAGCTCTTTGTTCCACCCCACCCCCCAAGGTTTCCTCTCTGCCAGGCACATGTAGATGAATCCTGGGCAGGCAGGAGAGGGAAGCCTGGCCTTGGCAGCCTCCTGGCAGCTGTTGTGGAGCTCAGATGACAGGGTCAGCAGCGGGGACACTGCTCGTGCTCTGCGATGAAATATTTAAGAGTGTGTCGGGTTATCTTCAGATCTACACGGCCGAACACGAGAGATGCATGATTCCAAGCGCAGCAGCGGACAGGCCACAGAGGACCAGTTAGCAGCTCGGTCTAGGTTGAGGCTGGGAGGGGGGAGCTTGGGAACCTCACTCACCTCCAACCTGGAAGCCCGCTCTGCCTGGCAGGAAAAGGGTGGGATAGATGGGCTGGGGGGGTGCATTAGAGGACAGACCAGGACTCGACAGGGAGCAGTAGCCCTTTTCTTTTCCCCCTTGAGACGAGGCTAAATTGAGAAGGGGTCTGCAAGTCACTGTAGGGCTGAGAGACGAGATGGGGAAGACTTGGGGCCGGATATGTTTCCTGATTCGGACGTTGACTGCAACCTGGCGGAACACGCCTGCCAAGTGAACCTGTAGGATGTCCGCCTTCAGAGACCACCCAGTCCCTGTCCCTGGGGAACCTTCCCCTGCTCCCTCACACCCCTCCATGAGGCAGCCAGAGAAGGCTGGAAAGAGAGGACCTAAGCATCGTCCATTCCTCTGACACCATCCAGGAGCTAACAGGACGCCACCTTGTCCTCAAGGTAGAGCAGACTCACCAGCCAAGCCCAGCCCAGCTGCTTAAGCCTCCTTGATCCCAACTATCGCAGTTAATCAACAGAGTGCGCTGCATTGAGATTCCAGATTGTTCCATGTGCTTTACGGATAAGCTCATGGAGAGACTCAGAGAGGCAAAGGCATGCCCAGGAGGTCACACAGCTTAATTAACATTTCAAATCAACTCCGAGTTTCCAGCTCCAGACCAACGCTCTTTGCCCAGTCTTCTGGTCCCAAATGCCAGCAGAATGTCATCTGCCCACCTGGTTAAAAGCCAGGCTTCTCAGAACAGGGCCTCGGGATTCAATCTGGGCAGACCCAAATTTGTTTTGGGGTCACCTCTAAAAGACATCCATTCCTCTCTGCATCTGTCATGGCTTTGGCCTGGCATTGTGCCCAGGGCTCAGGGCTGGGCCTGTGTGGGTGAGGTGTTTATTCAAGTCTGGAGGTCAGCCGGGAGACTGGCTGGTTACAGAGGCCCCATCAGGGTGCTCTGAGAGAATTCCTGCAGACGAGAAGGAAGCTTGAGCTGGCATCTCCTACCTCAGCCATTCTCCTAAGCAAACTGGATTTGGGCAAGAAGAGGCTGCCAGGCTCTGCCCATAGGCCTCCTTGATGCTTGCAGCTCCTCACTCCTGGCCTCGGCTATTTTATGCGGGTGAAGAATCCCCACTTCCACCCCAGGGAGCCCGAAGGCCTCTCCCGGTCTTGTAGATCACCTCTAGGCTCCTGCTCCAGCAGGACTCCCTCCACCTGGCCAAGTTTCTATAGATCTAAATCCCCTCCTGCTGCCCCTAACTGGAAGCCAAGCTGGGTCGCTGGAAAGGGCTCCTGGTCTGGAGATATAATAGCTGTTTAAAAAAGGACTCTTATGGTCATTAAAGCCACTTCCCTTCCCAACCAACCAAGACCCTCCACCTGCTATGCTGTGACATCTCAGCCCAAGAAAGTGTCTGGGCCAGCTCCCCAAGGAAGGCGGCCTTCTCTGTGTTCCAGGAATAGGAGAGCTTCCTAATTTGCTCTGTATTTGCCCGAGATAGATTTTTAATTAAATAAAGTAAGAGCTTGATTAGAACCTGCAGAAGATGTGAGGGCAGAATCAGATGGTATTCCAGCAAAATCGCAAAGCAAACACTCTGGCTGGAACACAGGAAGGCCCCAGGAGGTCTTCCATCAAAGCGCCAAGTGAGGAGGGCAAATACAAGAGATTATATAGCCAGCAGATGTGCACTGTTAAAATATGCATCTGCCAGCAGTGTGCTTGAAGAAGCCGAGGGCCAGCTCTCCAAGCCTGCCTGGCTCCGGGGAGGGCACGGGAACCAACCCAGCAGCCAAGCCTAGAGTCACAGACACATTAATTAGTGTTGTGTTTCCAGCACTCAGAAGCAATCAGACAAGAAGCAACTCTGAGCAGAGCTTTTGCTACCCTGGGAGGCAGAGCAGGCAGGAGCCAGAGAATGAGAGGAAGGTGGGGAATGAATTAAGCCTATGAAGCCAAACACCCCAGACAAGGAAGCTATAACCCTGGTTGTGGTTCGCTTGAGTTCCCTCAGCAATCCAGCCAGCTGCCAAGGGCTACGTCTGACTCAACCCATATCAAAACAGAGATCTTTCCAGACACAGATCAACTCCGGAAGTCTTGCTATCTATCAAGGAAAGGACCTCAGACTTAAAGTCAGCTGTGTGACCCTGACACCGTCACTCAACCTCTCTGGGCCCGTGTCTTCATGTGCCGAATGTGAGGCGATGACTAAACAAATGATGTCTTAAGAGTTGTTCAGCTACCAGAAGGCCTCATTTCCAGTCAGGAGTCCAATACACCACATCAACTATTTTAGGAAAATGGGCCATTCCCCACTGGAGCCAAGATCTGAGTGATGCCTGAGGCTGAGAAGGTAACTGATCCTGATGGCTTTGTCAGCAGCCCACCTTGAAGCTGAGACTCAGAAGTTCCACCAGGTCCTGGGCCAGGTGTCCTTAGGTACCCCATTTTCACAGCTTAGATGGACATTGCAAGGCCACACACACATACACACACACACACACACACACACACACACACACACACACACACACGTGCGCGCGCATGCAGAGCCGTGGAGCAGTAGGGGGAATCCTCCATGAGGAAAGAGAGTAACATCTGACAAAAAAACAATACTGTGTGACGCTCCATCCGTTTTAAAGCAATACACGCAGTTATGCATGATGTCACCCACACTCTTACCACATGCAAGAGCTCAGGGTCCGTAGGGCACCATTGCACTTGATCTTTCCAAATGCCAGAAGATTCAGGTAGCAATGCCTGGGAGGAACCAAAGAGAAAGCAGAGACTGCAAGTGTAATCAAGAAATGTTTCCTGAATGCCTTTCATTTCTAGGTGTTCAAGATTCCTCAGTAAGTGGAAGATAAAGCCATCTCTGGCCTGGTAAAGCTTGCATTTAGCAGGGTACAAGGCAGCTGGCAAATGACAATCAGATTCAGCAAGTAAACTGTGCCATTAGAATGCCCCATGGTAGTAAACATCATGGAAAAGGAGGAGTAGAGCTGGGGAAGGAGAATCAGAAAGGGGGGGACAGAGTTGGAAGTCGGATCAGCTATTAGAAGGACTTGGCCGTGGCTGCTCTTCCCATGTCCTCTTCTTGCTGGCCCAGTCTAATATTGACTCTGCTGTCTTTGAGGCTCCCGTTAGAAATCAGATTTCCTAACCAAACATGAATCATTTAAGATGGAGACCAAGTCAGGTCAAATAAAGAAGGTATCTTACCCCTGATACAGAGAGGGCAAATAGACACACTCCTTAATTTGTTCTCCCACAGAATGGGCAGCAGCTCTTGCTGCTGTAACAAAATGACAGACAGAAGCAACGTAACTTTGGCAGGATGTGTGTTAGCCTAGGGCTCATGGGGATGGGCATGGTAGCTGGGACCAGTTCAGTCCAAGGTATAAGTGTCACTTCCCTCATACCACTGTGGGCCAGAGCAGAGAGATGCATGGGTGTTGATGCTCAGCTCTCTTTTTCCTTTTACTCCTTTTATTGTCTGGATAGTGTCACCCACATTTGGGTAGGGTGTTTCCTCCTCCATTAGTTCTCTCTGGAAACACTCTCACACACATGCCCAGAGGTGTGACTCTTAGGTGATTCTAGACGCAGTCAAGTTGGCAATGAAGATGAATTGTCATCACAAACTCCCAGTTCTCAGTTCCCAAACTATAGATGTGTACAGAGGGGATCTATGAATAACTTGAGCACTTCCAATCATGGACGTAGAGCTGATACAGTGCTTAAAAGTGCTGGCTTCTAGATGGTTCTGAATCTAGGGACCCACTGGGACA